ATTATACTTTTTAATATTTGATTAAAAAATCATTTTTAATCTTAAATATCGCATAATTGAGATCATTATATATAATTACTATTACATAAATACCTCATAGCTTTGCAATGCATATCCACGGCATAAATTAATTTCTTATAAATCAAATATTTATTCTGCAGGTTATTGTTTCTTAGAGTTTTAAATATCATTGCTTGTTTAATACGATAACTACAAATTATTCTTTTGCTAATAATTATATAATTTCTCTAAATTATTAATACAATTTTTCATATCTCTTTTAATATTTATTTTTTTACCTGGCGATTTGAAACATTCCGCATGCGTGCTGTTGATAAAATATAAACAAAGTTCCTGTCGCCATCACTACTCCTATCCCTATGATGGAAGCCATATTTGCGTGCAACGTTATTAAATAGAAATATCTTTCTTGATCGATAAAATATTCGGTCTTAAATAGGAATAAATGATTTGATTGAGTTCTATTTATAAAGAATAAAACATCAAAAATATGTGGCCAAAATGAGAACATGAAGAAAGCTAATACCACAAGCACGGCAAAAGCTGAAAAATGTTTAAAAGTTATTTTATCTAACGGATTATTACAAATTTGTTAAATAATTTTTAAATACAATATGCAAATTGCATGTAATGAAAGCAATTGTCTTACATAAAAATGCAATTGTGTAACGTTTAGCATATCTACCATATTTTCTTATGATACTGATTTCACCTTCATCAGTTAACTCGTTACGGATATGTTGCAATTGGTCCAACAAATATTTTACCTGCCGTTTTCACAAGATTTCATATCGTTTCTTTTTTAATTAAAATTGAAGAAAATTATATTTACATGTGTTGAAATCCTTTGATAATTCTGATTTTATATACATATACATATAGACACTCTATATATATATATATATATATATACATATATATATACATGTATATAGGATACCTAATACGCTTATATGTAGATCAAATTGAACGGAATTGATCAAATTAAGTGGAAAAGTCTTGTATCATTTTGAGTTTCACAATTAGTAATGAATTCTTAATTATTAAAAATTGCCGATTAAGCTTATATCTATCTGGACCAACGGCAAATGTAAGCGTGCGGCAATTTGTAACTAAATATTTCGTCGCGCTCTTAGCCACTGTGAACACTCGTAATGCTGATCGTACCTCGCTGCAAGCTTACATGTGTCGGCTTGGTGAATACACGCCCATTCAACAATTTTTAATAATTAATAATTTATTACTAATTGCAAAAATTGCAAAATGATAGATTTTTCAACTCAGTTTGACCCCCCCTACCAATTACTTATGGCCATCAATAATTATTAGGTGTCTCCTATATACAAGATGTCCGATAATAACCGTATCATCTCTCGTGAACAAACAGAGCGAGTTATATTAAATAGAAACATTTTATATTATTTTGTAACTTTTATAATTAAAGAGTTACTAATTTACAGATCCGCAAATGGACGAATACTCGCACAAAGGGACAGGTCAGCACTATTATACACTCACAGTTGCTAAGCGCGCAGCAATATATTTGGAGATGTGCATTACAAACAGATGTTCATTTATAATGTATGTATATAAATAGTTGCGTGTGTGTGTGTGTGTGTGTGTGTGTGTGCGCGCGCGCGCGCGCGCGTGTGTGTGTGTAGGTACAATAATATATAAAAATTATTTTACTTACAATTTCAGTATTAATACTAAATGAAATGTATTTAATTATAAAAAAAATGGTATAAAATGCAGAAGAAAGAACATTGATGAGTAAATCCGGAGTACATTTTAAAGTCACAAATATTGTAAACTGTAAAAGATAATTTTATACGACGAATTTTGAAATTATTTTATCTAATGTGAATATTATCTAATGTGAGTAATCATAAATTATCGATTATTTTTTTAATTCAATAATTTAATATACATATGAATAGTTTATAGAAAAATAGAAATTTTATATAATTAGAAACTAAAAATTATTTATAGTTTGCACTTTTAATTATAATATTGTATGATATTATATCTTTGGTAATTTTGATTACAAAATAAATTGCTATAAATAGAGGACATTTACAAGTACTACAAACATACTATAATTTTTAATATGTCTAAATATGAAATAAATAGTTGTCATAACAATTTACTATTTTATTTTATTATTTACTAATTACAATAAAATCATTATAAAAAATATTAGTATACCTGAAATACAATAAAAGTTGTCAGAATACTAAAAAGTATAGTTAATTGAAGCCGAACAAGTACAGATTGCTGATAAGGCCACAAACCGAATATGAGCAATAAAAACCAATTAAGACTCACATGCAAAGAATCAATACAGATCATTTCTTCGTGAACAATAAAAAGTAAATGATAGAAAAGAGATTGGTTATTCTCTTTTCTTTGTTTGGTGATATTATACAGCTTCGTTTTCTCGATTTAAATTTTAACGCAAGTTGCCTAATTTGATATAAATGCAATGCAACATATGACAAAATATTACCGTGAGATCGAAACACTTGACAATTTACACCTTTATTCTGAAAAGGGTGTATAAAGGGTTAAATAATCGATTCGACTCTGTCATTAATATAACAGATGTTTATTTCCCATAAAGAATTATGTAAAGGGACACTTCAATTGCGCAGATGCGGCTCAGCCCTTTCCAGCACAATATGTTTTATATCCTTCATTCTAGTGCACGCTCTCTTAAGTTACGTTTGATTCTTCAGAATAGTGCCAGTTGTTTAACTTGAAGTGTCAGCGTAACGGTTACCAATATATATTGTTGGTAAATATCACATCATTTTACGTTAAAAATTTTCTCTTTTCTATTTCCTAAGTGCCTATATTTTTATTTATTTATTAGTTCAGCTTATGTTTGATTAACGTATTATTTACTTTTAAATAATTACTTTAATATCATTGTCAAGACTAATCTTAATATGCAAAACAAATATACTAAGATTATTTTAATGAACACTTTCTTCAGCTTAAGATCATTTGAAGTATCGGAAATATATGTAAAACATCGAAAATATTATAAATTAAAGAATATATTTATTAGTATCATTTTTTTAAATAAGAAATTAATTATAAAAATTTTGTCTTACATTTTCACCAATTTTTTTTTAATATTATCATTTCTATACTATATAAAACATTTAAATCCAAAATTTAGCTAGATACGAATTTGAATATAATTTTCTTGGGTCACTAAAAAATTATAGAATATAATACTTAAACATGATAAATATTTTTAATATTTTATCAATTTGAACGGTCTGTATTTTGATAGTTTAATAAAATGATTTTCAAATCTTAAGTATTTCAGTAAAACTGCACTCTTTTCATATATATATACACTGTATGCTACTGCTATTTAACTTTAAATATTAAATATTATCTATTATATATATCAAAACTGACATTCTTTCTTATTAGATCAAACTTATCTTTCTTTGCGAAGATGATAAACTCATTAAGTAAATACGAACTGCAGAAATTGATTGATTCCAAATAATCATTATATCAATATTGTATATTACTAATGTTGTTGTGAGGAATGTAGAACAGTAAAGTAAGATATCGAAGCACTTGTTAGCTGTAAAAAATTTGTTTGAAATATTTTTTGTTAGACTTATTCTATGCGATACATGATATATTTTTTTACCATAGCAGCACTTTCTAAAGATCCCACAAATAAACCACCAAGATTTAGGTTAAAAGCTTTAGTACCTCTTTGCAACATAAACAATAGCATTTTCTGTATACGTAAAGGTGCTACATACCATTGAACGTTGTATCTATACAATAAAAAAGTAATTCAGGAGAAATATAAGATAAGTAGATGCATAAACAATTTTTACCATTTTAAACATATTTATACCATATTCAAAATTTTAATTTTAATTCTGGCATGTATATGTAAGAGTATATATAATGATTATAAGTATAATTACATTATACAGATATATATCTTACACAGTGGCAAATACGTAATTATTGTGATCCATAACTTGTTGTGCAGTATAGTTAGATATAAGCAAATATATATAGAGGGCAAATATAATTATAATAGGTGGTAGTAATTCCTCAAAATTGTTGATAGACGATGTAAGCTGAAAAAACACGATTATTTTAATTTCCTATAAACAGACTTAATAATTTTTCTGTCCTTTTTAATTAATAAATGCTTTTTAATTAATAAATGCTTTTCTTTTAGAAAATATAATAAAAATCTTTAAAACACAATAGATTAAAGATTATTTATTACATAAAAATAATTTTACTTATATAGCTAGCTCATATTAGAAAGTTATAATGTGTTGTAAAAAAACAATGTGCAAGCTTATATTTATAAAAAAAATAGACAATTTTTATAATTTTCTAAATGTACTAAAAAAGAATTGATCGAATTAATCTGAAATATGAATATAATAATTAGATTGTTGAGTGAAAATGAAATATGAATGATTCATAATTTTGATTAAAATAAACAGATAAATTTGACAAATTTTTTTTATCATCTCTTAGTTGCGATAATCGAACAAATTTTATATGAGAGTAATTAGAGAAATTTTGATTGCATTTTGATTAGGGTAAGATACATTCAGTTGCATACATTCTGATGGAAGTAATAAAATTTTTGTTGTAATATGACAGCAATATCTCATTAATATAACTAAACTTTCTTTGAAGATTTTAATTTTAATTTTTTTCATAACCTTATTTACACGAAATCTGATATTTCTTTATCCGATTATCTCTTTATTTGTATTTGTATATAAAATCTATTTCAACCTCTTTCTTATTATTTAGAGAATTTCATTATAAGAAATGGAAAAACAATCACGCAATTATATAACATTAGTAGAATATTTCTATAATAACCAGATACTTGAATACATACATACCTACTAAAAAACAAAACTCTAGTCAGTAATACATTTAAATATTTTAGTTGCGTACAATAATATTTTAGTTACTACAATATTTGATTATAATTACTAGAAATTGTGTTTATTTCCATTATTATTTCCTTAATGACATATCTTGTTAATTCAAATATTGTTCTTTTAGTATAGAGCTTTATCATTCTATGATAATAAAACTACTTTTCTGTTTATAAATTATATAAAGATATATCAATTTTGTTAAAAAAAAAATTTGTCATAAAAAGTATATTCAGTAGCAAAAGATTAAACTTACTTGAACAAGACTGCTGCTTAGGCAAATTGTACCAGCCGCTATTAAAAAGAAGAACGATCCCTCAAAGTTCTTTATTAAGAAATGGGAGTACCTTCAAAAATAAAGAAATATTTAGTGCATTATATTAATGCATAATATTAGATATTGAAAAATATATACTGACTCTGTAGCTTTGCGATGAATGTCTATTGCATAGATTAACCTTTTATAAATTAAAGTTTCTTTCTCTTGATTAACATTTTTTAACATATTAATCATCATTGCCGTCTCAAGACGGAAACTGTAAATAATTCTTTTGCTATAATTTTATTTAGTCTTTTTAGAATTACTAATGTGAACAAATCAAATTTTTTTTATAATTAAATTGTATTTCTACCTGGCAATGTTAAACATTCCGCAAATATGTTTGAAATACACTAATAACATTGTTCCTGTCGCTATGATTGCAGTTCCACCTATGAATATTGCTGCATTTGTGTGCAGAAGAATCAAATAGAAATAATTTTGTTGATTAACAAAATATTCCGTTGTAATTTGTATTGCAGGGCGTGATCGGGAAAAGTTCATAGGCAAAATTACATCAAAAATAAGAGGCCATATTGGTAAGATGAAAAACATGAAAATACCTAGTACTAAAAGAAAAAATTAATGTATAAATATTAATATTTTATTTTATTGATCATTTCTCCATATTATGTATTTTTCTATATAATAATTTATTAATAATAGAAACGCATAACTTGTAAAAAACAGTTAAATATATCGTCTCACTTAGAACTGAACTTGTATAAAGTTTTCCTATATTGCCATATTTTTCTATAATAGCAATTTCGTTTTCGTTTTGTAGTTCGTTACAAGTATGCTGAAGTCTTTCCAGTGATAACTTCACCTATTATATTAATAATATTTAATGTTATTTATGTTGTTTTTTAAAGACCTTATCCAAATTGTAGACTTTAAAGATTTATTTATCAAAGTGTTTAGACAAGATTATAGAATATCTTCAACTTACAATTTTAGCATTTATCCGAAACGAACTATATTTAATCGTCAAACAGATAAAGAAGAATGCAGAAGACAAAACTTTAATGATAAGATCTGCAGTACATTTTGAAGTGATAAACGTTGTAAACTGCATATAAAAAATTTAAAAATTCGAAAAAATTATATTTAAAAAACTGCTTAATGTGATATGCAAATATTCTTTTCACAATTATTCTTTCCTGTGAATATTCAATAGAAACTACATATTTACAATTCTTATATAATTATAATATTCATTATAATTTTTATTAAAAGTGCATTTAACAAAATATAACACATTTTTCTCTTTTTTTTTTATTTACACATTTTTTTACATTTTTTATATTAGAAAAATGATATGAAGAGACATACCTGAAATGCAATAAAAGTTGTTAAAATACTAAAAAATACAATAAAATGAATTTGAGCAAGCTTCGATTCTTGGTAAGGCCATAAACCGATAACAAGTAAAAGAAGTCGATTGAGCTTAAAATGTTGTGTCTCAAGACAAATCATTTCTGCGAACACGGAGAGATGTTTGACCGTAAAAAATTATCCGCTTATATTTCTTTTAGTTCACAATTTTACAATTTTTCTTTTCTACTTCTAATTCTAACAAATTATCTAATGTGTAAGACGGAATATAATATTGCAAAATTGAAGTACTTACAGTTCAATACCGCTTTAAAGAAAAGAGCATATGATTAAATAATTGATTTAATATCGAAGGAAATGAATAGATGTTTATTCACATATACGCAAAAAAGTATAGACGTATTCACGTATAGATTTAATCGAAAGTCGCGCAGACGCACTTATCACTTTTCAGTAATGTATCGTAAGATGTTTTATTCTACATGCTCTTATAGGATATGTTTGATCTTTTAGAGAAGTATTGACCATTTATAATATCTATCGATCTAATATATTAGCTATAAATTTATTAATGATCATATATTAACAAAATGTAATACTAAAATATTCGGTAATATTCATTCATTAAGAAGAATTATTGAATTATTATATGTAATATTAGTTTTTATTATCTGTGTTTTTTATATACACATTGAAAAAATAATTTGGTTATCTCAAAGTTCTGTTTTCAAAATAAATGATTAAAAATTCTGATTGAAATTACTTAGATTAGATTTTTATTTAAATTTCCTTTCATTATGAAATTTGTATGAGGAGGAAATTAAGAACAAAAATAGTTTTTATATTTTATTGAATAATGATAGAATTATTAAAAATATTGTTATATATAGAAAAGAAATATATCTTCTAAAAACAATGTAATAAATGCTTAATTACAAAAATTTTCATTACGCTAACTTCAACAAAAATTTTATATTTGTTACATATTAGAATATATCGATTTAAATTATAATTTTCTCTCTGTGAAAATAACACTTACAAGAACAAAATGAAGTGTGAAACTCGAATAGTTCTAATTAATTCAATTGAATTTTTTCTTCTTTTTATTTTCTACTGTTTACTTTATATCCTTTTTCTCTCCTTCCTTTTCTGAGGTCTATACATATATATAATTTATTTTGATTTTTCTATTATTGTTATTTCATATTTTACGATGTAGAATAAAGAACAGTGAAGTAGGATATTGATGTACCCATTAACTATAATAAAATATTTGCACAAATATAAATTTAAATAATCGATCTTTCAGACACTGTTGAAAAGATTATGCTATGGATGTATGTGTATGCGTATGCGTGTGCATGATTATGTTTGTGTGCATGTGCATGGACATGTGTGCATGCGCGCGTGCGTGCGTGCACATGTGCGTATATAAGAAATTTATTTAACATATAATATCTTTTAATGAAAAAAAACAGAAATCCAACAGTATAAGTTAACAGTAGCACATAAATTAATAATTTTTTTAGCTTCCATTTTGAGTTACTGAGCTACTAATCCATATATTTTCCTATCTATCCTAATATATCGATTTCCATGCTTTCTTTTTCTGAGTTTTATCAATTAAGACACAGTTCTAAAGTGTTGAATATTTTAGAATAATTAAAAAATATTACTTTTAATGAAATAATTTCTCAAAGAAGAATAAAAGAATAGAAGATTTTACTGTGAATTAAATTATACAATATATATAATTTACCGTAGCGGCGCTTTCCATGGACGCTACAAAGATTCCACCAAGAATTAAATAAAAAGCTTTAGTGCCTTTTTGGAGTAGAAACAACATCATTTTCTGTATATGTAATGGAGCCATGTACCACTGAGCATTATATCTATAAAATCATAAAAATAGATAATAGTAAAAAAAAATAAAAATAATTATCACAACATGTATATTTACAATATATATATTCGTTCCATGAATTACATTAATTTTAACTGTAACACTTCCGTTAAATTTTTGTTACAACTGTATGGAAGATGATTATTTATATACATATAAATGTAAAATATCTCTTACACTGTGGTAAATACATATTCGTTGTGATCTGTAATTTCTTGTGCAGTATAATTGGATAAGAACATATATATATATAGGATAATTATGAACATAAACGATTGTATAAGTTGCACAATATTAATGTTATCTGACGAAGTTTTAAAAAGCTGAAACATGAATTGTTTTATGCGAGAGATTTTGTAATTTTTCTAGAATTCTTTATAACAGATTTAAGATATGATGTGTTATCTAATAAATTTTGTTAATGTTATATGAATCTTTTTACTGTTTTACAAAACTTATAAATGTATATACATGTATATAAGTATATATACGGACAATATATGTAACTTGACATATGTAAAAGACAATTTTTATAATTTTATAAATAATTTTATCGTTATCACACAAGAAAACTATTTTCGTTTCTTTATCCTTAAAACTTTAATTAATCTTAATAAAAACAAGAAGTATTGAATAATTTATGTAAAAATATATATTTTGTCAAAAGATATTTAATAGCAAAAATAATATACATACTTGAACAAGACTACTGCTTAAACAAACCATGCCAGCCGCTATTAAACAAAAGAACGAGCCCGCAAAGTTTTTAATTAAAAATTGAGAAAACCTTAAGAACAAAAAATGTTAGCAATAAAAATGTAATTACACAGATATTATAAGATATATACTAACTCTATAGCTTTGCGATGAATATCTATCGCACAGATTATTCCTTTACAAATTTGAATTTTTTTTTGTTGATTAACATTTTGCAACATATTAGTCATCATTGCCTTCTGAATACGAAAACTATAAACAAGTTTTTTTCTGTAAATTTGTAAATTTTCTAAATTTATTTGATAAGATTTTGCTCATAATATAAATGTTCTTATTTATTTCTACCTGGCAATACTAAACATTCCGCAAACATGTTTAAGATACATTATCAACATTGTTCCAGTTGATACTATTGCAATTGTTCCTATACATAATGCTATGTTCGTATGCAGAAGAATTAAATAGAAATAATTATCATAATCAACAAAATATTCTGTCGCAATAATTTGATATGTAGGACGCTGCCAGGAATTGTTCATTGATATAATTATATCGAGAATACATGGCCATATTGACATAGTAAAAAAAGTAAACATGCTACTTATACCAAATACTAAAAAAAAATTGATAAACAAATATGAACAATTTATTCAAATAAAATATTAGTTATTCTTCTATATTACAATAAAATTTTTTACTTTTATTAATAATTTATTAAAACGTATTGTGTAAGTTATCTTACGTAGAATTGCAATTGTTTCATATTTTCCTATACAATTATATTTTTCTATGATAGCAATTTCATTTTTGTTTTTTAGTTCGTTACAAGTGAGTTGAAGTCGCTCCAGCGAAAATTTCACCTATTGTATCAATAATATTTATGCTGCTGTTTTATAATTTTAATAACATTTAAAAAAACTATAAAATATGCTAAGGAAAATTCTTTGGAAGGTTTATTTATTACGAATAATTGGATGGAATTATAGTGAATGTCGAGTCTGACTTACAATATCGGCATTAACCCAGAACGAATTATATTTGATTGCCAAGCAAATAAAGAAGAATGCGGAAGACAGAACATTGATGATGAGATCTATAGTGCATTTTGAAGTTATAAATGTTGTAAACTACAAACAATAATTTTAATTAATAAAAAGATTACATTAAGAAAAAAACGATATTTTCACATGGCTAATGAAGTTTGATTAGAAAGGTACTTTTCTTGATTGTAAATTTGATTTTGGGAAATAATGTATATTTTCAGAAAGTATTTGGATTTGATTTTCAATGTATTTAACTTATTTTCCACTGGTTTGTAATTCAAAATTCACCTAGAATTAATGAGGATCATGTTACTAAGGATCATCATCAGTTCAAGTCTTTTTTGAAAATCCATTATTTCCCAAAACTAAACTTACAGCTGAGATATTCTTATTATTTTATTATTTTTTATAGATTTAATTAAATATTTGAGATTTAACTGTATATTTATAATTGCAAGTTATAAATTTGCACTTCATAGTCTTTTTTACAATTTTACATATTTATACAAAAGTTAATACATAAATAGTACAGCATATAATAAAAAAATACAATCATAAAACACAAATACGTCATTTTTTTGTCCTCTCCTTCTATTTCTCTTTTATATATAATATGAATAATTTACATGCCTGAAATGCAATAAAAGTTATCAATATACTAAAGAGTATAATAAATTGAATTTGAGCAAACTTCGATCTCTGAAGAGGCCATAAACCAATAGCAAGCAAAAGAAGTCGATTGAGCTTAAAGTTTTGCGCCAGACAAATCATCTCTACGAATACGAAAATACATTTGACCATAAAAAAAATAAACAATTATTTGCTTATATTTTCCTTTCGATTAATTGGTTAAGTGTTTCATCATATATATATTTCTCTCTTCTGGTTTTAATTTTAATATAATTACCTAATGTGGTTGAATGCAATTCACAACGTAATGTCACAATATTAAAGTACTTACAGTCCATTATTGTTCTGTAGGATAATGTAGTTCTGTAGACTGCATAATTAATCGATCGATTTAACACTAAAAGAAACAGATGTTTACATCTCATAGAAAAATATTTGTACAAAGACAAACTTAATCGAAAGAATCGCGCAGGCGCAATCATCTCTTTTCAGTAACGCATTTAAATATATGTTTCATTCTAGTGCGTACACTTACAAGATATACTTGATTCTCCAAAAAAATCACATCAGCTATTTGATGTAAATCATGAATTTATTGATAAAATATTAATATTTATTAATATTATTTATTGATATTTTACTTTAATACTATTTTTTCCATTAAATCGTGCTTGAACTTCATGAATATTTTTATAGCAGTATTTGTAGCTAATATTATATTTTTATAAGTATAAGTTTCTCTCTCTTCCTCCCTTCCCTTCCCCCCCCTCTCTCTCTCTTTCTCATTTACATGCAATCATATTGTTTCTTAGTTATTTTTTTATTAATATTATTCTTAAGTTATTTATTGTAAATAATTAGTTAAAAATTTCTTATATAATATTCTATGTTTAATATTAGATAATATTATATATAGAAATTATATATGCTGTTAAAATGATTAAAAGTAATGTTCTAAATGTCTTTTCTATAAGAAGATAACTTTATATTCCTAAAAAAAATTTTTTTTGCTAAATTTTTTTTATTTAATGAATTTTATTAGTAGAATAGTTCAAAAATTTTTATTGCAACTTAAAAAAAAACACCATTATTTTCCAAATACAATTAAATAGAATACAATTGAACTGAATGACAAAACATTTATATTGTACAGATTATCAATTTTATATTATATAATTTTTATAATAGAGAAATATTTCGATTCTTTTTTATTTAAACGATAATGTTCTCTCATAGCAAAAATGATACTTTAGTATAAATTATCTATTAGATCTTTAATTGGTTTTTCTATTCTTTCCTTCCTTGTCTTTATTTTTGTTTTATTATTCTTCTATTCTTTTTTTTACTTTAAATTTTAAATTATTGTAAATTAACTTTATTTTATTATAATTATTTTGTTTTTATCGTGTAAAATAGAGAAGTAAGATATTAAAATATTCATCAGCTGTACTAAGTATTTTTTATTTTAATGAGTTATATAGAAAAGTTTTATACTATTTTGCGTTTTTTTGGCAATAATCAAAAAATTATTGATTTATACAAATCCACGAATAAATGTATTTGTTTTTTTTGTTTGTTTGTATAAATGTTGTCAAATCATTTTCTCGAGGCTCTCACACACAAAAAGTAAACATAAGCTGTAAGAAAATTGACCAATCATATTCGATTATTCTTCTTACGATCGAAGAATAATCGTTAGTGTCAATTTTCTTATTACTTATGTTTTATTGCTTTTTGTGCGGGAGCTCTTATTCTTTAAATTATCTCAATTTCATTTGTTTCTTCTGATGTGCGTATATTCATAAGATATACTTTTTCGTTTAATTGATATTAAATGTGAATTTTAAATCACTGTTAATATTATATTATAATGCCATTGAAAATAATTTCATCTTTTTTATCAAAATAAATTTTATAGCACTTTTTTCATCACATCTTTAAGCATGTTTATTCTTTAATATTTTAAAATTTTCAAATGTATTTGTGCCTTATGCTATTAAAAGAAATTATATTTAAACGCAATAATAAAAGCTATTTGTTTTTTAATACATGATCTGATATGCCAATATCACGGTAAATGAAACAATAATAATTATCTTAAATTGAATAAGTTTTTTATTATCGATAGTTTCCTTTTTTTAATTTAATTGCATTAAACTCACATTCGATTTGTTCAATATACTGCAACTTTATTACTAAAACTCTATATCTAGTCTGTCTAAAGATTATATAGCAGTGCTACTGATCGAGACGTTGTTGACTCGTATAATAAATAAATGTGAAATAAGACATTGAAGCGCTGGCCAACTGTAATGAAAGATGTCGTCTTCAAATGTTTGAAATATGTTGCTATCAAACAAATTTTTATATAATCTTTACCGTGGCAAAGCCTTCTAAAGAGCCCATAAACATTCCACCAATCATTATCTTCAAAGTTTTAGAGCCTCTTTGTAATAAGAACAATATTACCTTTTGTACTTGTAAGGGAGCTGTATACCATTGAATGTTGTACCTACAAAACAGAAATTAAAGAATAACCATTGGTAATTTTAATAATTTATAAATAATTTAAATTATAATTATTCTCTTTAAATAGAGTATAAATTATTTTACAAAACATTTTAGTTTTCTTTTTGTATGAATTATATATCATATTTTGTATTAATTTTATCTTGCATTGTACAAAACTTTTAATTTTCGCATATTACATGTACACATTTCTTACACTGTAGCAAAGACATTATTGTTATGATCCATAACTTGTTGCGCCATATGATTTGCAAGAAATGTATATGTATAATACATATTCATAATTAAAACAGACTGTATCAATTTCTCGCTAATACATCCAGATAATATTTCTTGATACATCTGAAAGACGATCTATTTATTTGAAAGTATATTTAAAATAAAAGATAAAACTTACTCGATAAAGATTGAGGCTTGCATAAAGCAATCCATCCAACATTAAAACAAAAAACGATAAGTTAAATGAAGATATAAAAATCTTGATAAACCTTCAAGAAGAAAAAAGATTACTATTTTATAATATGTATCATAACATGTAAAAATAAATTCATGTAGATCTTAATTTGATGCTATCTTAATCTCTTTTAACATTAAGCGTTAACGGCTAAATTAAAAAGTTACATGTGCAAAATTAATCAAAATTTATTATTTATTATTTATTAATCTTAGAGAGAAAGAGAGAGAAAAAAATTACATTGTATTATAAATGTATAACAGTGATTTTTAATTGTAATTTAAGAAATATTGATAAGTTGACATTTTTATGGACAAAATGGATATTAACTTAATTAAAAAATTTATACTTGATATAAATTTTTTATATTACGATGTATCATATGTAATATATGCTCAATGGATACCAACTTTAAGGCTTTTCGATGCATATCTATGGCACAAATTATGCTTTTATGAATCAAATTAGTATTTCTCACGCCACTCATTCGTTGAATACTAATTGTCATAACTCGCTCGATACGATAACTACAAATAACTAATGTTATAATTGCATAATATATGTGTATTCGATAACGTAACATGAGCAATATCACATTATCACGTGTGAAAATCATACTTTGAAGTGACAAAACAAATATAGTTTACTATTATAATCATTGTTAATTTTTGTACCTGGCAATTTTTAACATTCCGCAAACGTGTTGAATATACATTATTAAAAAAGTTCCCGTCCCTAACATTGCAAGCGCTCCTATAAAAAACGCTGTATCCGCATGCAATATAATTAAATAGAAATATCTATCTTCATCGATGAAGTATTCTGTGACAATCTGTAGTGATGGATGCGGCCAAGATTCGTTTGTAGAAAACACAACGTCAAAAATGTACGGTAAAAATGGAGAAAAGATAAAAAAACTCACGCAGAGGACAATAAGCACTAAAGAATAATATGAAAAATAATATAGAAGAATGATATGAAAAACAATTGTAGAAAATTATTGATATTTTATAATATTATTATTATTATTTCTAAAAATTTATATTTTAATTCTGATCTTCTTTATAGTATTGTTTAATGTGCCACCATACATATGGTCTTTTATTTTATGCAAATTTCATGTTCGCAGATATTCAAAATATAATTAGATACAGTTTAGAAATTGTAAAGAAAATAGTTTAATTTTAAAGATATTATTTGATTATATAGTACTTTTCTTAAATGTTTTCATTTATCTTTTTTTACATGTAAAAGTTTAAAGATGGATATATATATAAAGTATCTTAATGTAATTACTACATATACGATTATATTGCGTTATTATTGGCAAGAAAGCAAACGAACTTTTACCGTTTATGTATAGCTGATTTAATAATACAATTATGAGAAATTTAAAATATAATAACCTGCATAACTACAAATATCATTTATCTAATTGAAATTAAGTAAAATCCATATATTTTTCCACAACAAGAAATGAGAGATTATCTTACGCGTAAGTACTTCAGTATAACGTTTTGCAATATTCCAATAGTTTTCTATAATGGCAATTTCATCTTCATCTTTTAGCTCGTCATAGGTATGCTGAAGTAGTTCTAGTAAATGTTTTACCTGTCATTACAATGATATCTATGCTACTTTTTATGTGAAATTTGACTGTTATAAAACACAATACATTTGCTCAAACACAAAAAAATTCTTATTGTTTACTTACAACATCCATATTGAAGCAAAACGAGAGATATACTATCACAAAATTAAAAAAAAATGATGTGATAGAAAGAATTTCAATAACTAATTGTAGATCGCATTTTGAGGTCGCAAATGTTGTAAACTACAAGAAATGATTTGTGAAATTATTTGTTTTCAAAAAACCACTGTACTTTGGCACTGTATTTTGGCAGCAAATAGAATTATATTAAATTATTAAATGGTTTTATGCAATTATTATATGCATAAAATATGAACAAAAGTAGCAAAGTATATTTATACTTATATATCACAATAATCATATACTAAAGTACATAAATGATTATATAACAAAGATGTGTTAGTGTAATGTATTTTGTAATTACATATCATTTTAATATATTTTTAATTGTGTCACATTGTTACTAATAACAATATAATAGATTATAAATTGTATAGTAAGTGAGCACTTTTTGCATAAATGTATTATTGAAAAATATTGATATACCTGAAATATGATAAAGCTTCCCAAAATACCAGAATGCAAAATTAATTGCAACCAAACGAGTTTGGATTGTTCATAAGGCCACAAGCCAAGCATGAGCAAGAAAATACGATTAAGACTAAAGTATCGATTCTTCGCGCGAATCATCTCTTCGAGCGTCGAGATGCATATGAATGCGAAAAAGTCGGGAACGCTCCATTCACTCTCCCTTCTTTCGATCGATTGATTGAATATTCCTTCTACAAATTTTATCGTAAAACTAACGTTAAAAGTTATAAATTATAATAAGATGCACAAACACTTATAATTTAGTAATTGTTTTCCTCGAAATGGTTTATGATTAAGCGATCGATGTGACGCGTAAATTTAACAGATGCTTTCTTCTCATAAAAATAAGGAAAAAAATATTCATGAAAAAACTATTTACACAAAAAGTATACTGGCAAGTTCCAACGCTACAACTTTACTTTACTTTACGGCGCGTAGAATAGTGATAAAATTTATAGCATTTAAATAAAATATTTGGTTTTTGAAAAATCTGTTCATTAATAAAATATCGACAAATTTTCCATAATTTAGTTTATGTTATCTTAACAAATGCTATCATATTTGAAATAATCTTGTTTGATATTTTTTCACAAATTTTTAATATACGAACCATTCATATTACTTATAATTAAAAAATTTAAATAACAAAAAATACTAATATTAAAAATAAATTAATTATATCATGGCCAACATATATTATTATAAAAGTCACATATAAAAGGAAAACTAATCATGGACGATACTTATATAAAATTTATATTTATTATATTTAGTATATTTATGAAAAATGGCACGTTTATACATTATGTTCATTTCCATCTTATAGAAATCTGAGAAATTAATATCTTGTATTAAATAATTTTTATTTTTTTATCGTTACGTTTTAATTTTTCATTAATTATACACATACTATACTTTTTGATTTAGTTTCCTTCTTTCTTTATCGCGTTGAATATATAACAGTAGAATAAGATACTGAAGTCTTATCAGCTGTAACAGATTGTATTATTCAACATTCAGTGCATTGTTACATGTTCGAATATACTCTGATATATACTCTGATATGATCTTTACTTACAGTAGCAAAACATTCCAGCGATACAACGAACAGTTTACCAAGATTTAAAAAGAAATTTTTGGCGCTTCTTTGCAGTAGAAAGAATATCATTTTTTGTATATATAAAGGAGCCGCATACCATTGAACGCTGTAACTACAAATATTATATGAATGAGAAATCAGTAAAAAAGAAGAAATATATGATAATATTTAATATATGTATTCTATAAATATAATATTAACATATTCTATCATATCTTATTTTGTAGACGTTTACTTTTAAATTCTATATAAATGAATACAAAACGTTTGTACATGCACGTGTACAATAGTATCCTACTATAAAATTTTTTTCTTACGCAACAACAAATATGTCATTATTATGATCTATGATGTTTTGCCTACTATAGTTGCCTAAGAACATGTATAAAATACAAACTGTTACGAAGAAAAAGGGAAATACAAACTCTTTGATATTATTTTGAGATAAACCAATCTGAAAAATTTTAAATATGATTATTATAGGGAACTGGACAAAGCAAGAGAAAAGGGAACTTTCTGCATACATTCTGATTGTTAATTTTTACGTAGTAAGTTATTCCTTTATATGTATATAATGTATGTGTGATGATAATAATAATTAATTGATATATCAGGACAAAGAGATTTATGTGTAGTATTAATTAATTATAAATATAATGAAAATACATTCTTTTTTATTATATAAAATTATATTATGAAAATCAAAAGCCTTTTTAAAATAAAAGTACAAAAGCGAGATCTGAGACTTACTCGTAAGAGATTGAGATTCAAAGAAATTATTCCAAATACTATTAAAGAAAGCATTGTATTCTCAAATTTGTTTATCATATTTTCGGACAATCTTTAAAAGTAAAAAGATATTATTGCTCGTATTGTATATACAAGTGTAATGTATAATAAATCATATAATATATCGGATCTATTATTCGATAGATACTAACTTCATAGCTTGCCGATGAATATCTATGGCACAAATTAGTCCTTCAAATATAAGATTTTCATTTTTTGCACTAACGTTTTTCATGTTAATTTCCATTGTATGTTTAATGCGATAACTATAAATAAATGCTTTTTGAGCATTTAACAATTTTTTGTAAATAAAAAATTCTTTTTTGTTTACAAAATAAACTATTTTTAATGTTTATTCTTTGAATATGATTCCTCTTCTCTCTACTTTGTTACAATGATAACATTTCTATTTATAATAATAATAATGTACTGCTAATTTTGAAACTTTATGATTATTTCTACATTTCTCACTTACTGGAGATTCTAAACATTCCACAAAGAAGTTGAATGTGTACAATTAATATTGTTCCTGTTGATACTATTATAAACATTCCTATACAAAATGCTGCATTTATATGAAATAGAATTAAAGAAAAATATTTTTCCTGATTAACAAAGTATTCTATCGCGAATCATAGTCGACGTGGTTTAGATACGTTTTATCGATAAGATATCAGATGTATTCAACAAAAATTCAGCGCCAATAGGAGCAAATACACTACAAATACAAAATATTAAAAAAATGTTAGAAAATAACTGTGCTATAACTTTCAGTCGTATAATGTTTTAAAATATTATTTTACGTGCGTATATGCGAATATATGTCGTGCGTGTGTACGTAAGTATGTGTGCGTATATGTGTATATATGTATATGTATGTATGCGCACAAAGCAAAATTTGAAACATTATACAACA